ACAACTTGTTCGGCCATTCTCCAATTGATAGAAGTTCTTTTGATTTTCAATTCTTTGCCATCACAAAAAGAGCTGCCATAAATATTTTTGCACAAATAGGTCCTTTTTTTTTTATTGCTTTGGAATATAGACCTAGTAGGAGCACATGAGTTTTAAAAGTTCAAGAGAGCTATAAGGGCTCCAGGAACTGAAGCCTACACCAGATTTTGTTTTCAGATAAGACAAACGAGGTGCCATAGAGGCAAGAGTAAGCTACTTAACCCATCTCAGCAGCGGCTTACCTTTTGGGAAGTGGTATCCTGTAGAAACAAAGGATAGACTCTTTCCATTATCTATGCCTGCCACATTTGGAAGTGAACTTGATAGATTGTAGGCCACCACTTTAACTTTGAGGTCACTTTTCCTATGGCATAGGGGAGAATATGTCCCCACTTTGGAAAAGGGAGTTGTGTTTGCATTTCTCTTCTTGTATATTTTCTCAGAAAATTTGCGTTTTGTAAAAGCTCATTGATGTTATTTGGTTAAATGATATTAGAGTACTAATCAATCACATTGATGATATTGAACAGATATTAAGTAGCACTAATTAGATGATATTATCCTTGAGAGACTGAGTGATTTAACGATCATAGGATCAAGGGAGATAGATGGGGATCTAAGGAGCCATCAAATCTAAACTTTTCCTTTTACACATGAGGAAATTGAGGCTGAGAGAATTTAATTGACTTTCTCGGGATCATTTAGCTATTGACTGAGGCCAGATTTGAGCTCAGGCTTTCCTAACTCAAAGACCACCAATCTACTACTATTACTACAACTGCTGCTGCTGCTGCTGCTGCTGCTGCTGCTACTACTACTACTAGTACTACTTCCAGAAAGCTATGACTGTTGATAAGTCAACAAGCATTTATTAAGCACTTAGCATGTGCTAGGCACTATGCTTATTGCTGAGAATACAAAGAGAAACAAAATGTTCCTACTGTCTCACAGTCTAATCGGGGAGAAAACATGCAAGTAACTTTGTACAAAGAAGATATATAAATAAGACAATTAGCAGAGCCAATGTACCAATTTACAAACTCGACCTCCATGAGACCATAGTGGCATTTAACCAATATGTGTCAGAGGCAGGACTACTGGGCTTTGAGGCTTACTCTTAATTTATTATTCACATCAAAGGTAATACTGCCATTTGGTACTGGAATGGATCTGTCAATATCTTTCTCTATGGCTCCATTCACCATTCTTAAAACTTTCTAAACAAAAATACCCTCCCTGGCCACCATTTCTCTGTAAGCCAGTTGCCTCTCTCATTGGATTATAAACTCTTTGAGGTCAGAGGCTATCTCTACTTTTGTATTTTGTGCTCAGGATAGTGCTTAGCCACTAGTAATCACATAATAAATGCTTTTCAATTCATCTGGTTCTGAATGCACTTTAGCTATTTTTTTTAGGTGTATGCATAAGCAATTTCAATTATTCCTATCAAAGTAGGCCATTTTTTACATTGCTCTTAATTGATTAAACCTTGGTGAGGAAGAGCTCAATGGCTTAAGTGAATAAGAACTCACTCACTTCTGAAAAGGGTAGAAAGAGCACACAGAGTTGGGGGAAAATTACATACAATTTGTGTGTGAATATCTGCTTAGTAAAAGGGTAGCTCAAGGTTTAGGTCATATGCTAATTCATGTATACAGGCCTTTTATTTTTAAAGTCACTGACAAGCCTCATTACAGTGGTTAGCAGCTCTAGACCAATTTTAAATTGAGGTCATCTCTGAAATCCTACCATAGAATATTTAAGATATATAATGGCTGAATGGAGCTATTTTCTTGATCAAGAGGAGACTGATCTCATGGAAAGATCCATAAGCTGACCCAGCAATCTTGCTGGCCATATACAGTAAGAAAGACATAGGAAGTAAGGCTTAATATTTAAGTTTTTTAGTGAAATACAAGCTCTTTGAGAAACTGAAGAGTTTTCAGTTTTATTGTTATATCTCCAGCATCTAGCAAAGTACTGGGCACATGTAAGTAATGGCTTAATAAAGACTTTTAAAACTGAATTGAGTATTTAGCTAAAATATTTGCAGTATCCCTTTTTTGTGGACATAAATAATAGATAAGGATTGTAAAAACAAAAAGAAAGCAGTTCCCATCCTCAAGGAGCTTACATTTTATCCTAGGAAATATCTACATGAATAAACACACGCAAAAAATTTATAAGGCAATTTTGAGAGGGATACATGGGCAACAGGGATGATGAAGGTAGGTGTCATATAAGAAGTGATATTTTAGCTGAGGTTTGAAGGAAAGTAGGGATTCTAAGAGTATAATAAGCAGAACTAGGAAAATAGTATTCATAATAACTAAAGAATGCATAATAACTAAAGAAAAGGAAACCATTTTGAATTATGGTAAAAATTAATACTGGTCCTAATCAATTACAGAATCACAGAAAATCACAAGGTTTAAGAACTAGAATAGATCACAGTTTTGCTTTTGGACAGGTCCAATTGTAGAATTTTTTTTTCTGACACTGTATAAACTTGTATCTTGGCAACATCTATATCTTCTCACCCATCAGGCTTTCTGAGGCCAAAGAGAATATATAATCCCACCTTCACATGAATAGTCCTTCAAACACTTAAACTCAGCTATTTTGTTCCCCACAATTTTTTCTCCAGCTTATGTATCCAAAGTTTTTCTTTCTCCAACTGACCCACTTGTGACATGGACTCAAGGTCTTTCACCATCTCAGTTCCCCTCTTACGGATATATTCTAAATGATCAATGCCTTCCTTAAACTGTGTCTAGTATTGAACGTTATAACCCAGATGAAGTGTGATGACCTCAGATCATGGAGGCACTATCACCTAGATGCTACATCAGTATTCACGAAATCCAAGATCATATCTGCTTCTTTGGCTGTCACATTACACTGTGGAGCTTTTAATGATCTAGCCATTTAAAATCTCTAGACTGGTAGAGATAAAATGCTATTTAGTCATGCCTCCCCATCCTATACTAAGAAGGCCTATTTTTTTGAGCCTTATTATGAAAGCTGACACCAATCTCCATTATTTTTCTTTATATTTGATTCATCCCATTTCTCTAGTATGTCAAAATCTTGGTGGACCTTGGATATCATCCAGTGTGTAGCTATTCCTCCTAGATTTGCTCATTTGTAAATTTGATAAACATGCCATCCCTATGTTTTTATTCAGTTCACTGATTAAATCGTTAAACAGCAAAACATTAAGCACAGATCTTTCAGACACTGACCTGGAGATCTTCAAAATAAACTCTGAACCACTAGCAACTATTTTTTTCGTCTGGTCATCCAATCGTTTTTGAATCCATCTATGAATGAACAAATGAATGGCAGATCATTTATTAATTATTTAATATACGTCAGGCAATATATTAAGACCTAGGGACAAAAATACAAAAGAAGTTTATATGCTAGTTAAGGGAAAGGGGATACTTATATAGGAGTGACAGTGGAGGGAGAGGATTTTGGATTGGGCACAGGGTTGGTGAATGTCCACTAACATTCTTTCTACATGTAATGGCTGTATTAATTTGATTATAGGTTTAAGAGCAAGATGTGGAAAGCAAGGAGTAGATAGAAGAGAATACACATTAAATAAGGTAAAAATGGCTGGGTGAAGATGATGATGCACAGTCTGAAAGTGTTCAGAGCCAAGTGGCTTAGTCTCCTACTCACTGTGGTCTCATAGAGGTCCAGTTTGTATTCAGTCACTTACTCAACAATTTATTAAATACCTGCCATGTACACTCTACTATGTTCTAAGAATAATAATAGCAAAAAAAATTGAAACAGTCCCTTGACCTGATTGAGCTTACTTTTATAGAGGAGATAGCTGGGTAAGTGACACAGTGGATAGAACCCTGGATTTGGAGTCAGCAAGACAAGTTCAAATCTTATATCAGTCACCCAGTTTGCTTTTTGATCTGGGGGCAGATAATTATTCTCAGCTTCAATTTCTTCATCTATAAAAAATGAATAATAATACCACCCATCTCTCAGGCTTGTTGTGAAGATCAAATGAGCTAACATATGAAGTCCTTTGCAAATGATAAAGCCCTGTATAAATGATAACTATCATCATTATTATAAGTATACATACAATATATCCAGAATGACTATAAGGTGGCTTTGGGTGGCATGCATTAAAAACTGCTGCAGATCAGGAAAAAATTTACGTAGAAGGCTATGCTCGATCTTAGCCTTTGAAGGAAACCAGGGATTTTGAGAGGCAGAAGTAAAGGAGAGAATATGTCAAGGTATAGGGGCAAACCAGTACCAAGGAAACGATACCTAGGTCATCATTGTAAGGATCAAAAAGGAGGCCAGTATGACTGGATAAAAGAATGTGTATAAAGGAGTTACTATTTAAGAAGATAGAAAAGGTAGAAAGGGACCATAGTATGCCAAACATAGGAGTTTATATTTGATTCTAGAAGTAGAATTTATAATGCAACTTACCTATCTCCTCTTTGTAGAGAAGTGGAGGGCAGCAAGGACAGAATGTAGTTAATACATTGCCTGACAGTCACTGTATTATTTAAGTGTGGGAGGGGTGACATGTTCAGATCTGCATTACAGGAAAATAATTGTCAGCTATGTGAATGATGGATTACAATGGGGGGAAGTCCTGAAATAGGAAGATCAGAAAAGTAGATACTCCAACAGGAGAGATGAGAGGTGATGAGGATGGTTGTTGTGTAAATGCAGAGAAAGGGACATGTGTAAAAGAGGTGAATATATCCACATCTATTCTACATGTCTTTATCTTTTCTTTTCCATAAGATTATCATGGTATGCCTTTAAAATGGTTTTGCAAAAGCCTAGGTAAACCATGTAGAACTCACTTGATCTCTAAGTTTTGATACTATTTTACAGAATGCAACAAAATTGGTTTGGCCTGAAGTCATAATTGTTGTTTGCTGTTTTCTTTTCTTTATGTTTTCTAGGCATTTCCAGAATGATCTATTCTAGAATTTCCCCAGGAATTGAAGTCAAGCTCACTGATTCAAATTCTACAGAATCACTTCTCTTCCCTTTTTGAAAATCAGTATGCCATTTGCCCTTCTAAAATCTTATGGCACTTCTGTCCTCTTCTATGATTTTTCAAACATCCACCAACAGAGGGTAAGTAATGACATGTACCAGTTTTTCAGTACCTGTGTAAGTAGTCCACCAGGGACCAGGTGACTTGAATTTATCAAAGGCAGCTGTTTGTTTTAATTTTTTTTAGATTTACCTACCTTTGGTATCAACTCCTTATTAAACATTTCATGCCATCATTTCTTGTACAAAGGTCACTCTTGACAGGAAAGGCAAAAACAAAGCAAATTCAAAAACAAAACCAAACTGAGCAATGGTCATTTCTTTACTGTCTATTATCACTATCCTATCATTACAATAAGCAGTCCTATCTCTTTAGTCATCTGCTTCTCCTCCATGTATGTGAAAACAAAATAAAACAAAACCAAAAGTTTAATTTTCCTTAGCTTGCCTCAACTCAACTCATTCTGAGTTTCCACATTCATTACATTACTTTTATAGGACCATGCCACTTTGATATATACATTCCTTATTACCTACCCTTCCTCTCACCTTCTATACACATGTTATCAATTTGTCAGTGAACTCTTTTTTATATATACATTGGTCTCTTTAGGCAACTCCCAATGGAATTATTTCCCTTTGTGTCTTCAGAGTTTCATTCTTCAGAGTCTACCATTGTTACTAAATTGATTTCTCTTGTAGAATTTTAGTCCATGGCCTCTTTCCTAACCTTATTCTGAACTCTCTGAAATTTGTTCTTCTAGGTAGGTTCCACACCTAGAATCTAGAGCCTCTATCAAACACTCTACAAGGGAGTAATAACTTCCCTTCCAAGTTCTCAACATTTTTGTTTCAGCAACCAATTTCTTCCTATAGGTAAAAGTCACATCCAAGATAGAATTCCCACTTGACGCTTATTCCACCTTTCGAAAGATGAAATAATCATTGTCATATTAATAAGTAATTGGGTTCCCTGTTTTTGGCATAGAACTCCAGCAGATATCTGGATAAATGAAGTACTACTATATTATTATTATTATTATTATTATTATTTCTCTGACATATATGTGATCTGTTTAATGAATTGCACATTTACTTCCTCTTTCTCTTTAGGTGATCTGTAGTATGCTCCAATAACAAAATTACTTCTGTTTTTCATTAATTAATTAACCACATTAATCTCCATCTAAGCATTCTGTAGCGTGCTATTTTATTGCATATATATATATACACACATATATATGTATATAATTATATATTTAACACACATATACTCTCAATATAAAATATGATTCTAACCTCCTACCTCTTTTTACTTATGAACTTTTTTGTTATAGTTTGTTTATTTTCTTTCTTTTTTAAAGGGGAGAGTGCAAACACAGTCCCCCACTACCACAAATTATGAAGCCAAGTTTCACACATTTGGGGAAATCACAGGGGTCAATCCATTGAGAATACAATGGATAAGCCTTGCCCTGGCAAAACCACCTTCTTGATCACGGAATCACTCTTGCGTGGTAAATATGTTGTTTGTTTATTTTGATTAATGTATAACAACTCAGAGCCATGTTCCAGTCATGGGTTTTATTCCACTGAGTATAAGTGATGTCTATAAAATAAAATTTGCCTCCTTGTATTTGGGCCTCTAATTTTTCTTGTTTGTTGCTTAAACCTTGGTCATTCATGTTTAAGCCATTTCTTGGATTTTGTATTGTGTGATGTATTATACGTATCAGCTGGAATTCTTCTCTTTGCATTGAAACTACTCTCTAGCTTGGTGGATGCATATAAAGGTTCCTTCTTTCCACCATCCTTTTTAGTTTAAGGTCCTTCTGTTTAAATTTGCAAGACACGTGGCATATAGATGGTGAAACACAAAACAGACTGGACTTGGAATCAGAAAAGTCCAAGTTGAAATCCATTTTCAGACACTTGCTAGATGTGTGACCCCAGGAAAGACACTCAACATCTGTCTGCCTATGTAATCTTATTTGTAGAATGGAGATAATAATACCACCTACTTTCCAGGGATTTTATGAGGAGAAAATGAAATGATATTTGTAAAGCCTTTTGAGCTTAAAGTGCTATAAAAATTAATAATCATTACAATTATACTCCTCCTTTTCTTCTTCCTTCTCCGCCTCCTCCTCAACCACTAGCCTTTGTTAGGTATACTCAGTCTTTTGTCAAGAGTTTGCCATGCCTGTATTTTAATCCATGGTATAAAAATCCAAATCTCATTTTCAGATGCCACTTATTTAGTCATCTGTTAATTTCTCAAGTCATTTTTTGTCTTCTGTATCCTCTGATTTCAATGAGAAGCAGTGAAGTAAACATAAGCTGTGCCCCTATGGTCTTTAGTATCTTTGCCAAGAGTATTTGGCAATACTTTCTGGGTTCCTTTTGTCACTGTAATTTGTGCCTACATAAAGCAGAAGTGAGTATTATTCATCTGCTTTGATGTCTTGGGAGATCTGTCATATCCTGAATATGTAACAGACTACTTTAGTGCTGTTAACAGGCTGACAAGTAGCTCTTTCTGTACCCCTGAGCAGGGTATCTCTAACCATTCTTCCTCTGACCTTTACTTTTCTCCAAACGGTTAGCTTCTGTAACTCTACCTAATTCTTCCTTGGAGCATAAGGAATTGCTTCCTCCTGAGAATATCCTTTTCTCCTTTCTTCAGAGTCTCATTATTTTTAAGTGACACAATTGTGTGACTTGCTCAGGGTCACACAGCTAGTAAGTGTCAAGTGTCTGGTGTGAGACCACATTTGAACTCAGGTCCTCCTGACTACAGGGCCAATGCTCTATCCACTGGGCCATCTAGCTCCCCCTCACAGTCTCTTTTTTTTTTTAAAGCTCCAAGTGTAGAGTTTTTCTTTCCTTTCCTTTCCATTCCTAGTGACATTATTTTACTTCCCATTCTCCAGAAAAGGGCAATTTTTACCAAAAGTTATCTCTGTATCCATCATAGTTATTATTGTTGTTGTTTAGGGATGCATTTCAGAATTATTGAGAACTGGATAGATGAGCAGATTTGTTGAGTAGTTATTAATGGTTCAATGTCAATATGGCAGGCAATGTCATGTGTAGTACCTTAGGGATCTATGTTTGACCCTCTGCTATTTAATATTTTATCAATATCTTGGATAAAAACATATATAGAATACTTATCAGATTTGCAGGTGATACGAGGGTTAGAGGAATACCTAACATACTAGAAAATATCAAAATTTTAAAAAGATATTGATAAGTTACAGTAGCAGTTCCACAAATTTTTTGTTCCATAAACCCTTGGGACAACAATAACAAAATGTATTGTGAACTTCTAGGGTAACTTAATACACTACACATAATATTCCTTTGGATTTTTAAAATAATAACTATAATGATAACTTTTACCCCCCCAGCTCAAATTGTCATTTATAACACATAATTATAAAATATAAATTTTATTCTGCCTATGATTATAAAAATTATGCACATGAAATTATAGAACTCCAATATAAAATAATTATGAATATTTCATGTGGTACATTCTATTTGAATTAAAAGAGGTAATCAAGAAAGACTTTACATATTCGATGTTATCTAAAGGACTTCAAATGTCATTTTAAAAAAATTTCACAAATTTTGTTAAATATAAATAAAATTGTGATATAATAAGTAATGACTTTGAAGATTTTAACATAATATTATAAATGTGTATAAGTCAATTACTCTGTTGGAATTTTTTTTTATTTGAACAAAGGTTTGCAGTTCTTGGCTCAATACCAGACAAACACAGTGCAAAATCTGGTTTCATAATTGATTTTTATTCTGCATTTTGATTTAAAATAAGATTGAAGTGAAAATACTCACACAAATATGTAGTGAAAAATAATCAGAAAATTTTAAAAGTTCTCTTGCAAAGAGATGAAAATCCATTTTTGAGAAACATTAGCCTCCAAACCAATCAAGGAAAATGAATAGCTAGTTTCAATATAATAGCTGGTTTCAGTATAAATCATTTACTTTTCTAATAAGTGAAAAAATTACTTTGTCAAATGGCAACTATACTAAAAGTTCAATTGAATATATTGCTTCATTTTTTAGCAATGTTTATATATAAACTGACATTTGAAAGGAAATAATATTTTCAGAAGTGATTTTCTGTCTACTCTGGGCTATATTTTCACAAAACCTATACTGAACTGACTAGTATTGCTATCTAGTTCATTTCAAAATCTACCAAACAAAAGTAGCATAAAAAACGTTAAGTGGAGGAGAAGTTTACATATGAAAACATCCCTAATATTACAATGAAAGGAAAAATAAAGTGTATTTCTGTAAAACAATAGTGATGGTCCAAGATGGTTTCAAGATGGCTTGGAATGCAAATGTCCAGTGGTCGTGATTTTCAAGTAGCACTACCTTTGCTCTATAAGAATGCACACTTTTAAAACATTTTGAAAAATGGTGAATGGGGGTAATAGGGGAGTAGATTGCTATGTCCTATACAGAAACTACGCAGAGTTGATTTAATCATAGTTCATGGTTTCCTAACTGTACACGCTGGGGAGGAGATGAAGCAAAAGTAGGGAGTGAAGTGAAACATTGTTGAGGCTTTCCTGATACAGTAGTCTAAGGAAAACAGTCAATAATTGGCTCAATGGAGCTGAGGGCAGAAGCTTATCCAAGGCATTATTTCTAGTATACCTTGCAAGGCAACTGGTAAGGCAAATGGCTGCTGAGTAGAGATAGATTACTACTCTAAAAACAAACAAAAAACACCTGGTGTTTTGGCAAATGATAAACAATACATGTTAGTAATGTGATACAGTGACAAAAAAGACTAATTCAGTTTTGAGATTCATCAAGAGAAGCAGAGTTTTCAGGAATAGGGAGATAATAATCGCATTATATTAGTAGTTTCTCAAGACCTCAACTGGGTAATATGTTCCATTCTGTAAAGCATGTTCTAAAAATGATCTTAATGGGCTGGTGGGTGTCAAGAGGAAGGCAACCAGGATGGCAAAGGCCTTTGAGTTCATGGCATATAAGGACTGCTTGAAGAAATTGGGAAAGAAAAGATTCAAGATAGTTGTCTTCAAATATTAGGAGGATTTTAATGCAGAGGAGAGAGAAGACTTTTTTTTTTCCCTTTTGGTATTAGCAGTGCAGAACCAGGAGCAATAGGTAGAAGTTACAAAGATGCAAATTTAATCTTGGTGTCAGTAAATATTTTCTAATAATTAGAATTTCACAAGAGTGGAATGAACTACCTTAAGAAGTGATAGATTCTTAGAACAGAAACGAGACAAATCAGTCAATAAATATTTATTAAGTACCTGTTAGGTGCCAGGCACTGTGAGATGCAAATACAAATAAAAAGAAAGAGAGTCCCTGGCCTCAACGAGTTTATAATCTAATAGAGGAAGGTAATGTACCAAAAAAAGCTAAAAGGAGGAGGGAAAAGACAGTTCCCAGAGTGGGAGCATGATGGAAAAGTTCAAAAAAATCAGAAAGTAGAACAGCTAATGGGAAATGGTAATAAATGAGAAAATGATTTTCCTGGGCCTCCTTCTTAAATGGAGGTTTGGGAGCTCATGACTCTGCCCTCCAGGTAAACAAATGGTCATATAAGAGGGACAGAGGATGTGTTACAGTAGACATTTCTTTTATATTTAGCTTGGACTAGATGGTCTCTGAGATCCTTTCCAACTCCCAAATTCTGTGATTCTCTGAATCTGCATCAGCTGATAAGGGCCCTAATTAGGGAAGATTATTGCTGTAGGAGTCCTTCAGATTTAGGAGGTCTTAATTATTTTCAGCACAGTAGGCCTAAATATAATAAGGAGCTTGATTATGGTGCAAGGCAAAGACAGAAGATGTAGATTCTAGCTTTGATTCTCCCGTAAGTTGCGTGTGTGAATCTTAGCAAGCCACTTAGGCTTTCTGGGCCTCAGCTTCATTATTGGCAAAGTGAGGGAGAGAAATATTAATATCTCTTCTCAACTCTAAGATTGTGTAATCAGCAACATGTCCTCTGTAGCACATTGGCATATTAGAGACAGCTGGCAATATAGTGGATAAAAGGGGCAAGGCCTGGAGCCTTGAGGTCCTGAGTTCAAATGTGGTCTCAGATACTTTCTAGCTGTATGAGTTGGAGCAAGTTGCTTAATCTCTGTTTACCTAGTTTTCTCAACTGTGAAAAGGGGACAATAACAGCACCTAACTCAAAAATGACATGAGGATCAAATGAAATGACACTTTTTTTTTGAGGCAATCAGGGTTAAGTGACTTGCTGAGGGTTGCGCAGCTAATAAGCGTCAAGTGTCTGAGGTCAAATTTGAACTCAGGTCCTCCTGACTCCAGAGCCAGTGCTCTGTCCACTATGCCACCTAGCTGCCCCCTGAAATGATACTTTTAACAATCACTTATCATAGTATCTGGCACATAGGAATAGCTATGTAAATGCTTATCCACTTCTCCTTCCCTTCCCTTCCCTCCTACCTCTGTGCTTATATCAGACTCTTTAAGACATAACTACAAAGCTAATTATTTTAATCAT